AAAAAAATTTACTATAGATTAAGCACTCCATATAACGCATATTGCTTTTAATTAAATTTTATAAAGCTATAATAAAGGGTATATAAATTCATTGTAAATTGATTAAACACTCACACAATATATATATATATATATATATATATATATATATATATATATATAAATAAAATGCTAATTGAAAGATTTATGATATGTTTCAAAATGTTTGATGTATTCGTTGTCTGGTGTTGTCAAGTGCCATGAAACCGTTATAAACATGGCGTCACATATTCACTACATTCAGTATTTAAATTTATAACCTCCAAAATGCAAGGGTGTAGCTAACAAACAGTTGTCTACAATAGTGACGGCATTTAATTTCTGATAAGGATAGAAACGGCCGAAAACAGTGAGAAGGAAAGAAAACTTTGAACAGTTTATCCACGAGTTTGATCCCGATATGCAACAACCTATTCGAAAATGAATTTAATAAAACATATTTCCGTCCTGGGTATGACGATAAACTACTTGCTTGTCCTGGCTAAGACGATAAACTACGTCCAGCAGCAAGGTATCTGATCAGGAGGTTTTTTGAGGAGCGTGGAATCACCTCTTAATTGTTCCTAGGCCTGCCCTGACCCGGGGTGGTAGCACCTGTTAGGGTCCCAGCTATGGGCAAATAGTTAACCACGAAACTGGGGTAAAAACACTATGAAAGTGTAAAAATAGGTTTTAATACCAGAATTTTAATACCAAATACCAGAAATACTTGTAAAAAAATTATTACCAGCAACAAATTTTTGAAGAAAAAAACTATTACTAGCAATACATTTTTGAAAAAATATTACCAGCAATACTTTTTGAAAAAAACAAAAATTATTACCAGCAATACATTTTTGAAGGAAAAATATTACCAGAAACAGATTTTTGAGTAACTCATTGAGGTTGATATGCCATAAAACAAAATAAACAAATCATATTTAAATGAATTCTTACTACTTAAACATATACACAGTTTCTGTTATTGAAGGTCTTCACATGATGTTATGTTATTGCATATTTAAGAATGCCTCAGAAAGAGATTTGCCACCCAATGAAGATCGAACTCAGTACTCAGTCGTAATTGATGTAGCGAGACAAGCTTGCTAACCATTACACTACGTTGAAGTGTCATGATGATAGATATATGCTAAAACATAACACGAAATATTTCCAGACAATTTTTAGGATATTATATAAGCGTTTAAAACCAATATTTATATGAGTTTTAAACCAATTACATTGCTTTGACTTGCATAATAAAATCTGACATAACATGTTATTATGAGGGTTACTCTGAAAGTGTTGCATCGTTATACTGACACACGGCATAAAAGGGTGGATGGTGCTGATAGTATAGAAGTAAAAAACAGACTTTCCTACTAATAGCTCATAACATTTTGCTTTGGTACAAACAACAATCTGTCAAAATGGCGTCTGACATGAAGGTGTTTATTTTTTTTTTTAAATCCGACATTATTTCTTATTAATACAAACATGATGTTTAGTCAGTAGAAGTATTTGGATTGACATCATTTTCTTTTTCGTTTTTTTTTTTGATTTTTTTAAGATTACGAATGATCCTTCTCCTGAACAAGGAGGAAATTCCATCAGAAATTGTCCGAAGTTCATTTCGAAAGAAATATGGTCCAAACTTTCGACTCTCTTAAGACATCATTTGGATAGGTAGATACAAACGGTGATTTCCGTAGAACTAGTGCGTGTTATGACGTGGGCTTAAGAATGTTGGGACGTAGGTATGTGCTATGTGTAATCTTTGTGTTGTATATACATTAAATTATAATTATTTTATTTATAGATCGTTTGGTTTGTTTTACGGCATATCAAGCTCTATGAGTTATTTAATGCCGACAAGATTTTTATTGCTGGTAATATTTCTATCTATCTATCTATCTATTTCAGTATATATTGGTTTCGTTTGTTTTGTTTTACGGTATACCAACCTCTATGTGTTATTTAATGCCGAAAAGATTTTTTTTAAAAATGTACTGTTGGTAATATTTCTTTTTCCAAAAAAGTATTGCTGGCAATAATGTATTGATGTTAATGATATTTTCTTTGACAATTTATTGCTGCTAGTAATTTTTCACAAAAATATATTGTAGTATTAAAACCTATTTTTACACGTTTTGACACTAGTTTAGGGGTTAACTATTTGCCCATAGCTGAGATCCTAACAGATGGTACCATCCCAGGTCAGCGTAGACTTGGAAGCACCAGCACTTAAGAGGTGGTTCAACGCTCCTCCTGATCAGAGGCCTTGCTGTTGGACGTAGCTTATCGTCTTACCCAGGACGCGGATGTAGTTTATCGTCTTACCCAGGACGCGGATGTAGCTTATCGTCTTACCCAAGACGCGGATGTAGCTTATCGTCTTACCCAGGACGCGGATGTAGCTTATCGTCATACTCAGGACGTATTTTTAAATGGTTGTTCTTGTATAAATATTGCTTCAATGGTCGCTGCCTAAATACACACAATTTAAATTTTAGAATGTAGCATTTAAAAAATACTGATAAATTTTACTTTTGATGTATACACAGAAAGATAAATGCCCACATTTCATAAATTGTATTAAAGCATTGGATAAAGTATGACGCAAATCTTTATTTGAACTGCTTGCTTTATTAGGGAAAATATTAGAATACTCCAGATCGTTTACTGGGAAAAAACAGCCAACACACAGAGAAAAAAATAAAGTGAGAAAGTTCCAAAATACAAAGGCACGTAGAAGAATAAAGAGTCTTCTCACTGGATTTATTTAAAGAGACGGTCTAAGATTATTAAACTAAAAAAGAGGGATAACTCAAGATGGCAACTACGAACTGGAGAATGTGACATGGAAATCCGAAAACAAATTGGATCGACTGATTCGTTTTCTATGGTTTATCAACCTTTTGCAGGTTATTTAAAGCCAGTCAAATATGTTTAGATTGCAAGATTTTTTATTTTATTTTTGGCGATAATATTGATTTAGTGATACAAGTCTTACTAATTAACCCATAGCTGGGAGGAGACGGGGTGAACTGCTATTTAAAAAAAAGAGAAAAATCAGGTTAAGAAGAAAAAAGACGATAGTTGTGATAGAGTTAAGGGCTAGAATAATATCAAAATACATTTTCCAACCAACCAACTCTTACAACTAAAAAGATTCGTTTTTTACGGCTTATCAACCCTTTTCAGATTATTTGAAACCAGAAAATAGTTTTTTTTTACATTGTAACAACTTTTGTTTTAGGAGAGATATAATTCTTTCAAATTATCCCGTAGCTAGTGTGGGGGGGGATAAATGGATTCATACCTTTCACAGGGGTATTTAAGTGAATATAACGAACCCAACATGAATTCAAACTCGGATTTCTAATTAACAATTCCGATAAAAATTATACATTTCACCACCCGCACATCCAAATATACGGCACCGGTTATTTACAAACGGTCACCCATTTAGGTAATGATCAGACTCGACGTTGTTTAATTTCGGTGATCGTAAAGAAAACGGTTTTTTTTTTTTTTTTTAACGGAAAACGTATTGCAAAAGCAAATGATGCAGTCCAAAGACTAAATTAAGTATTCAGAACAGAAACATTTCGTTAGGGGCAAATTTTTTTTTTAAAAAAAAGAGTGCTGGGCTGCTATACAATATCAATCTATCAATATAGCAGTAAATACTTGGCAATTTCCTCACAGATGAAGAGGAAACTTGAGACAACAGAGATATATTTCTACAGAATGATTCTGAAGATACCTTAGGCGGGACATGTCATCAACGAGGAAGTTTTAAAGAAAATTAGAATAAAATATACACTTGTACTGAGTGACGTACAGAGGTTAGGTGATCCCCGGGGATAACTCTTTGATTGTATTCCCCTAAGACTCAAGTAGGGGGTGGCGCATTCACACCAGCTTGTGGGACTGTAGAGCGCTTGAACAACAAAGTTAGCAGACAATTTCAAATTTCAAAAACTAAATTTTTATTTCACTCTTTGATTGGATGCCCTCCCGATATGAACGCCCAGGACCGTCGCACGCTCTGTCCCACTTCTACACGCTGTTGCTTGTACTCTGAATGAGAAAGAGACAGCTGAAATTTCTGGGATATATAATGAGGAAAATAAGCTTGGAGAATTTAACATTCACAGGGCATATTGAAGGAAACAGGGTCAAATGAGAACAGAGAGTAACCTACCTAATGAGATTGTGGCAGAAGAGGCGGTGATAATGAAAAGATAAACCTTACTACGAAGGATAGGAAGTTGTGGAGAGCTATGATCCTAGCGAGTTTGTGTAAATAGATAGCAGTGTCTAAGAGAAATAGTAAACAGACAAACTATGCTTAGGAAATGATGGAGAGACTTGCTCTCTATACGTTATGAAGGGACAAGGGACATAATTTTTCTTTTGTTTCTCTTCTGCCCGTTGTTTATTCTTTTATTTTCTTTTGTGAATTTGTCTTTATTGCCGTCTTCTTTGTGTTCTAAATGCGATCCAATATGGTGCCTTTTCCTATCTTACTTCATTTCACTGTCTATCGTCTTTTGCTCACAAAACGGATGAAAAATGCTACAGCAGTGACATTTAAACTCGCCGTATAATTACAAAGACAAGTGTTTCCCCAAAGGCTATTGAATAACCTTACAAACATCGTCCGAGAGAGAAACGCTGACGATGACAACACACGAAGACAAATGGAGTGATGCGCGCGAAGCGATTCACTTAGAGAGAAAATGGCGGAAAGAAGCCAACGCACCAAGGGAGATAAATGAATAAGGAATTTGATATGGAAAAAAAAGAAGAGGGAAGGCAGCGGAAGACAGGGAGATAGATAGATAGATAGATAGATAGATAGAGAGAGAGAGATTTAAGAGCGTTTAAAAACAAAACAGAGAGAAATAGAAAAAGAATAGAACAATAGAATAATAATTAAAAAAGAACAAAATGAAAGAAAAACATAAGAGAAATTAAAGAAAAGAAAGAAAAACGGACAAAATGAAGGAAAATGAAATGAAAAAGATAAGTTGGCAAATCGTAAGGAAATGAAAAAAATGAAAATGGAGAAAATAACCCCGCTCAGAATGAAAATGAACGAAGAATAAATGAAGAAAACAGAATGATGAAAATGACGAAAAACAGATAAAGTGAAAAAAGCGGACAGAATGGAAGAGAATGAATAAAAACGTATTAAGTGAAGAAAAATTAAGAAAACGGAAGAATGAAAATGTAGAAAAACAGACAAATAGAGAAAAATGAAAAATTAAAGGAAAATGCGAAAGCGAAAGGAAAAAAAAAAAAAAAAGAAGCGGCAAAATAAGAGAAAACAAAAAAAAACGAATGAAATGAAAGAAAATTAAAAAGAAAGAGGAATATGAAGGAATAGGAAGAAAAATGGATAAAGTAAATAAAAATTGAAAAAAAAACATAGAAAAATGGAGAAGAACATGAAAAACGAACGAAAAGAAGGAAAATGAAATAAATGAATAAATTAAAGACACAATGAAGATAAAATGAAAAAGAAAGAAAAGACAGCAAATGAAGAAAGAAAAATAAAGAAGGAGAGAAGAAAGAGTCTTAAAGATATAAAAAACTTCTCATCTGTAGGAAAGAATGTAAAAAGAACAAAAGAGAAGGAAAAGAGCAAAAAATGGCATAAAAGAATTCATGGAAACGAAAAGATGAATGCCAAAGAAGAAAGAAAAAAATAGTAAATACGCTTTTGCTCCCCGGCAAACTGAGAATGAAAGAGAATTGGGTGAAAATGGAAGACAAACTGAGAAATGTCGAATGATTAAAGTCTTTCAGATTCTTGAGTTGTAAATGCGATCAAACATTGTAGTGAAACAGTCTCAGTGTTGACTTGTTTCAAATGAACGAGTGTGTATTCGACCGAAACTATAATAACAACAACACAAGCTAAATATTGGTTTCTTAAATAGTCACTCTTGTTTTTCACTATGTGACACTTATTACGATTTTTCACGCACCAAATCGAAATCCAATACTAATTTCATTGAACTGCTGTTCTTTTATATACTTTTTCTCTTACATGAACAGAAATGGTAGAAGTGACATCACGGTAGCAGTGAGTGTAGTCTTCAGTTAAGTCGTCAACAAAAATAAAAACTGCGGATTTAAGGAAAATAGCTTTTGAGAGAGAGAGAGAGAGAAAAAGCATGAAAATGGAGCGAGAAGAAGGCAATGTATTATAACAGCGACTCACACGGCGACGAAGAAGAATATAGACAAAGCAGAGGAACAGTCAGGCACTGAGAACTGTGCAAATCATAAGGATACGACAATACAAACACGTGATGATGGTGAAACTAGAAATAGGGTAACCCCCCCAAAAAAAAACAAACCCAAAACAACAAAAACAAACAAAAAACAAAGCATACCTCAAATGGAACACATATGTATGAACCAATACTAAAGATGCTGAGAAAACTTTTGGCCTATTCTATCACTTCAGAAAGTACCCGAATCCTTCTGCCATAGAAGCAGTCTTGCGTTGCAGAAGGAATTATGTACACTATATATTTCATATATGGAGTATTACGGCAATACGAGAAGGATTTGCTTACTTTTCAATTTCCAGCCTTGATAGAGTTTAAAATCATTTATGTTGTCTTGTGAGTGGGGCTTTTTATTGGGTAAACTTTAGGATAAAAAGAACGGATCCGATAGCCGCTAAAAGCTCTAGTACAAATTTAGTTAGTAATGGATAAAAAAAAAAAAGAAATAAAAATCTCTCTCTCTTATATAAAGTGAACATAGAAGTCAACACTTAGAGGCGACAGTCTGTTTCATGCTATATACAATCGTCAGGTCACTAGCATGAAACAGATTGTCGCCTCTGTTGATTTCAATGTTCACTTTTATATTTACACACGCCTCTATCTCTGATATTTATCACTTTATCCACTAAATATAGCACATCCTAAGACTGTGTATATATATATATATATATATATATATATATATATATATATATATATATGTCTGAGGTTAACACCGATCGGTGACAGTCAGTTTCATTCCTGAACGCAATACTCCCCCGGCCATTGAACAGACTGTCGATGCTCGGTGTTGAGATCATTGTCCACTTTTATAATTTACATTCATACGAAATAGCTCGAAATTTTTAATCGGAGAGCCGAGTTCCAATTCTAGTAGGGGTGGGGGCTTATATTCATTTACGCGCAAATATCCTTGGGAAAGGTATAAATTCATTTCTTCTGCCACTACCTATGGGATAATTATTTAAAAAATTATCAATAAATTATTATTATTTCCAAAAACAAAAAGTCTTATTATGTGAAAAAAAATTCTGGCTTTAAATAACCTGCCGGTTGATAAGCCGTAAAAACAAATCAATCTTTTCAATTGTAGTTGTGATAGAGTTGGTGGGTAGAAATATGTATTTTGGTATTAGTCTCTGTCTATATTTTTATTAAATGAGGTTTTGTAACTATTTACATTATTTACGTTGTTCGGACTGCTGTCCTCGTCTTTGTTGTCTTTTTCACGAGGTTTCGGCCGTTGTACGCCCCGGCCTTCTTCAGGATCTGTTCATATTTCTGAGATGTGGTATTGTAAATATTTACACTATATTGTTTGGACTGCTGTCTTCATCTTTGTTGTCATATTCACGACGTTTCAGTCGTTGTACACCCAGACTTTATTAAATGAACAGTTCGGTTTGAATTTTCATCATATATCACTTGACGAAGGTCGCACTGTGCAACGGCCGAAACGTCATGAATATGGCAATAATAAAGAGGACAAGTAAATTGATGTTATTCTATCCATCAAATCTATCACAACTATTCTGATTTTGTCTTCTTAACCATAATTTTCTCTTTTTTCATACCTTTTTTCTCTCTTTTCTTTTTTTCTAAAATCAATTCCGACCAAATTCTTCAAGTTTCTCGCATTTTTTTATCAACTGTTTATTATTGATTTCATTTCAAAAAGTAGTGATTATTATTTTTACATTTTTTGTTTTAAACATCATTATTATAATTGGCTTTTTTTTTTTTTTTTTTTTTTTCGTTCTGGATATTGGATTTCCTTTTTCTTTTTTTAAAGAATCGGGTTATATATTTCCTTTTTCTTGTTTATGTTAGCTTTCCAATTTTCCTCCATTTTCTGGAAAATTTCTCAATTTGTATTTTCGTTCAATTCGCTTCCGTTTCATGGGGTTCTCTTCTTTTCCCTTTACTTTTCGTTTTTTCTTTCTTTCTTTCTTTCATTCTTTCTTTCTTTCATTTTTTGTTCCTCTGTTTCTTTCATTTTTTTCTTTCTTTCTTTCTTTCATTTTTTCTTTGTTTCTTTCATTTTTTCTTTCTTTGTTTCTTTCAGCATTTTTTCTTTGTTTCTTTCATTTTTTTCTTTTTTTGTTTCTTTTTTGTCAATTTTCATAGACTTTTTCATTTTAACCTTATTTTTTTGGTTGTTCTGTGAAATTTCCTTCTTCTCACATCTCTCCCCTTAGTCTTCTGCTCTCTTTTTCTTTTCATTCATTTATTCTCGCTAACAGAGAGAGAGAGAGAGAGAGAGAGAGAGAGACACACACAAACCACCATCACCACCAACAACAACAAACAAGCAAACAGCAACAACAATCAGCCTCACTATCGTTCATGCGTATTTTCTTGCCAGATGAAGCCAGCTGCGCTTACCGCTTAACCGTTTGCAAAGACGCCGACAATAAAATCGTGGCCAGCTTTTCACAATTTGCCAAATGAGAAATATGTGCTCAGAATTCGAAACCCGAATCCCCGCCCCCGTTCCTGTGGCCCCAGTGCTGTTCATTGTCTGGAATCTCCTTCGCATGGCCGGAGTTCTTGCGAAGTTGTTATCCCTAATACATTGTTTTGGACAGGTAACTGACATTACCAAAATGCTGCTAATATTCACTTGTTTCAACACGAAAATACATGCAATAGCAGTATGTGAGCGTGCGTGTGTATGCACACGCAAGTGTGTGTGAGAGAGAGAAATAGAGTGTGAGGGAGAAAGAGAGAGAGAGAGAGAAACAGAAAGAGAGAGAGAAAAAAAGAGAGAGAAAGAGAGTGTGAGAGAGAAAGAAAGAGAAAAACAGAAAGTGAGAGAAAAAAGAGAGAGAAAAAAGAGCGAGAGAGAAAGAGCGTGTGAGAGAGAAAGAAAGAGAGAAAACAGAAAGAGAGAGGAAAAGAGAGAAAAAGAGAGAGAAAGAGAGTGTGAGAGAGAAAACAGAAAGAGGGAGAGAGAAAGAGACAGAGAGAAAGAAAGTGTGAGAGAGAAAGAGAGATACAGAGAGAAAGAAAATAAAGAGAGAGAGAAAAAAGAGAGAGAGAGAGAGAAAAAGAAAGGGAGAAATAAAACAACATGAATGAAATAGACACACACAAGAAAGAAAATATAATATATATATATGATATGTCACGAAACAAAGAGACAGTAAGGAGGATTCTTCCTTTCTTTTCAAAAGAAAGGACTTTGAAATAAAACAACATTATCAGGAATATTTCATTTTCCTTCTTTTTCTTTCATATTTGTTTACACATATCCACACACACTTTTCCACTTTCAGTTTTTATATATTTATTTATATATATGTCTTTTTCATTCTTCCTTTCTTCTTTCATATTTATTATCCATTTTTTTGAACCTTTCTTTTTTTCCATTCAGTTCTTTTATTCATTCATTCATTCATTCTTTCATATTTCTTTCAGTTTTTCCCATTTCATTTTCTTTCTTTCATATTTATTTCTTCCTTTCATATCCATTTTTTTGTTCTTTCTTTCAGTTTTTCCTTTCTACCTTTCTTTTATATCTATGTCTTTTTCATTCTTCCTTTCTTTCTTTCATATTTATTTCTTCCTTTCATATCCATTTTTTTTGTTCTTTCTTTCTTTCTTTTCCATTTCTTTCTTTCAGTTTTTCCTTTCTACCTTTCTTTTATATCTATGTCTTTTTCATTCTTCCTTTCTTTCTTTTTATATTCCTTTCATTCCTTTTTTTCTTTCTTTCAAAGTATATTTATTTCTTCCTTAGACTGCCACATCGGTGAAACCCTCCAATTAAATATGTTAGATTTATCACTGATATTGAGCGCTTTCCAATAAATACCGCCCATATATAATACATAAATAATATATATATAAATTGCATATATATAAAAGTGAACGTTGAAGCCAACACTCAGAGGCGACAGGCTGTTTAACTAAATCAATAAAAATCATAGTTTCCCAATCTATGAGTTTCAGTTGAAATGATCTTTCGAACTTATTAACAGGTCTCATGTTTATAATCGTTTGTAACGAATGAAAGATAATTCTAACTTTCAAATTTCGATGAGATTTTCGATGTGAAACTCAGATAAGTTACTGGAAAACGAAATGCCACTAAGACGCAAGTGATAACTGCATGGGAAAGAGAATGAGAATAGTCCTGGGTATGACGATAAACTGTAACCAGCTGCAAGGCATATAATCTTAAGATTGAAAGTTTTGAGGAATGAAACCGTCTCTTAATTACTGTTATTTCCAGGTTCACCCTGACCTGGTATAATAGCCCCTGTTAGGGTCCCAGTAAAAAACACTATGAAAATATAAAAATACATTTTTATATAAAAAATACCAACCATACCTATTGATAGTAAAATTACTAACAATACATGAGACGAACTTGTTAACCAGTACATCACATCGAAGTGCCCTGTAAATCAGATGTGGCACAAGGCCGAAAGTATGTAGTACCCAGTGAGGATCGAACTCGCTATTCAGTCGCAATGTATCTAGCGAGACAAGCTTGCTAACCATTACATCACGTCGAAGTGACCTGTACATCACATGCGGCACAACGTCGAAAGTATTGGACACCCAGTGAGGATCGAACTCACTATTCTCGTGCGACAAACTTGTTAACCATTACACCACGTGGAGGTGCCCCTTCTTTGAAGCTATGTCTGTACCCGGTGCGTTAACTGTAATTTGTTAAAGGATTAATGGTCTTTTTAGTATAAACGTTATGTGTGTCTGTGTGTCGATGTATGTATGTGTGTACTAATAATAAATAAACATTTTTTTCATCACCTCTTGTTCCAACACGCACTGTGCGTTACTATATATATATATATATATATATATATATATATATGTGTGTGTGTGTGTGTGTGTGTGTGTGTATGTATGTATGTATGTGTGTGTGTGTGTGTGTTAAAGAATATAATAAAATATGTAAATATGAAATTGAAAACTGAAATTGAAAAATTCGCATTTGAAAACTACTTTTATGACAATAAAAATTGTATCCCTGTGTACGATCAAGAAGAGTAGAAACAACGTTAACAAGATATTTTAAAATTGCATACTGAAGAAGAAGAAGAAGAAGAAGAAGAAGGAGAAGAAGAAGAAGGTGAAGTAGAAGAAAATAAGGAACATAATGAATTAAAGATGATTAAAAAGAAGCCAGAAAAAAAAGACTAAAAAGAAGAAGAAATTACAGACAATAAATTACAGATGGAAAAAAGAAAACAGAAAGAAAAAGAAGAAGAAGAAAAAGAAGAAAAGTAATTACAGAGAAGAAATTAAAGAGGGAAAAAAAGAAACCAGAAAGAAAAAGCCTAAAAAGAAGAAGAAGAAAAGAAATTACAGACAATAAATTAAAAGAAAGCAGAAAGAAAAAGACGGAGTAAAAGAAGGTGGCGAAGAAGAAGAAATTAAAGGGAGATAAACAAAATCAGAAAGAGAAAGAGATAAAAAGAAAATGATGAAGAAGTGAATAAACTTAAAAGGATAAAAGAAGAAGAAGAAGAAGAAGAAAATATATATAATAAATTAAAGTTGGATAAAAGGAAACCAGAATGAAAAAGACTAGGAAAAAAAAAAATAGAAAAAAAAGCAGAAATGAAAATGAAAAAAAAAAAAAAGAAGAAATATGAAAACTGATATAACGGAGGAAGGAAGAAGAAAAAAGAAATAGATTGAAGAAGAGAACGAAGAACAGTAAAGAAGAAGAAGAAGAAGAAGAGTAACAACAAGAAAAAAATAAAGTAAAAACGAAAACACTAAACAATTTGAAATCGATAGCCCAGGGACATCGAATTTAATTTTCTCTACTCGAACAGCATGTTTTTCTCCACTCCAATAGTTCCATTTTTACTCATTCCGACCTCAAAAGCCTTTCCCGCCATTGCAGAAAAAGTGCGAAAAGAAAGAAAGAAAGAATCAGTGTGTTTGGTGCTATTGTATGAATGAGAATAAGCGTTATGTGGCATCATGCGGACGGCGTGCGATGGAGCGAGACGAAATTTGCTGGAACAAGACGTTAGTGGCCATCGGAGGAAAAGAACCTGAATAAAACCAGGTCAAAAGGTGTTCCCTTTCTGGACAACGTGATTATGACATGATGGCGATCGCAAACTGGCCCTATCTGTGGCGCTCCTGCTGGGCACCGGCTGGATGGAGCACTGAGTAGGCCGGTCAAATACGAGCTGTGGATTTGACACGGGAGAAATGTTCAGATAGAGACAGAAGAGACAAGGAGAGAGAGAGAGAGAGAAGAGTGAGAGAGAAGAAAGAACGGAGAAAGAAAAAAAAACAGATAAATATTAGAGAAAATAAAAGGAAAGAGGAATTAAAATACGACAAAGAGGAGAAAAAATAATTACATTCTGATGAACTTTCCTGTATGGTATCTAGACTTTATGAATTTAATCGCAGTACTCGATTGGCGGCAAGGTCTCATCATTTTCTAGTAGAAACGGCCAGATGTAAGCGTAAGTTCTATGCTAACAATTTCTTTTCCCGATTATAGTGAAAAAATTGATAGGTGTGCTGCTAAGAAAATTGGTTCACTGCATTGTGATAGACAATTTCTCTCTCCACAATCTATTTTACATATTTATAAGTGTACCATTTTTATTTGCTTTGAATACTGCTGCCACATCTGGTATGAACTCCTGCTTTATATTTAGAGATTCTTCATAAATTCCAAAGAGTCTGCAATGTTATTTGTTCTGACCTAGTATCGCGTCCAGTCACTTTTTTTCCGCCATAATGTAGCTTCCCTGTGTCTTTTCTATAAATACTTACATGGTATTTGTTCGGATGAGCTCTTTGCTTTGGTTGTTTTATTCACCTTCCCCCACCCACAAACAATGAACTGTATATATGGGGACTAGTTAGGACTTTCATAGAAACAATGAGATATTATGGTGGATGAAGTAAGTACGGTAAGTATGAATACATTGTTTTTGGTGTTAGGAATATTGTGGTATGCTTGGGTCATAGTTAGTTGCCAACTAAGTTTAAATTTAAGACAAAAGACCGTCCTTTGTCCCCATTTTAGCCTTGTGCCACATTTTGTAATTTTTACAAGAAAATTCACCAAGAATTTTACATATGGGAACTAGTTAGGACTTTCATAGAGACAATGAGGTATTATGTTGGATACAGTAAGAAAGGTAAGTAAGAATCTGTTGTTTTGGTGTAAGGAATATTGTGGTATGTTTGGGTCAGTGTTTGTGGCTAACTAAGTTTAGAATTAAGAACGTCCTTTTCTCCATTCCTCGTTTTGACCTTGTGCCACATTTTGTAATTTTTACAAATAAATATTAGTTTCCTCTATGGTACCTAGACTTTATACGGCAGCGAATGTTGGACGGTCTCCTCAAAGATGAAGAAGAGACTCGAGGCAGCGGAAATGTGGTTCTACATAAGGATGTTACGGATATCATGGAGCGAGCGTGTGAGCAACGATGAGGTCTTGGAGAGGGTGCAAACAAGGAGGAGGCTTTTACTTAACATAAGGAAGAGGCAGAGGAGATTTCTGGGACACGTAATGAGAAAAGAGGGCCTGGAGAATCTGATACTCACAGGTGGAATAGAGAGAAAAGAGACAAGGGAAAGCAACGCATGATATACCTGGCGGGCTTAAGCGAGTGGATGGCAGAACGTGGTCTGGGGGAGTTGGCAGAGGCACAAAATTTATTGAGAGCTACAAGGGATAGGGGGAAGTGGAGAACCATGATTGCCTACGTCTCGAAAGGACACGGCACACAAAAAGAAAAAAAAATAATTCGGCGGGAAGTTCTCATCATTTTAGAGTTGAAATGGCCAGATGTAAGCGTAAGTTCTATGCTATGCAATTCTCGCTTGTGGAATGCTCTTCCGGCTTCTTGTTTCCTAGTCAAGTTTGATATTCAAAACTTTAAATGCAATGTCAATCGTTATCTTCTGGCTTCTTAATTCTTGTTCTTTTATTCTCCTCTCTCATTAATTGAAGATTACCTCATATTCACTCACCCTCAATAACTCTATGCGTCCTAGTGGCGTTATTGCAATGTATGAGGCGAACTAATTAAAAAGAAAATGTTATCACTTCGTTGCATAGCTTCCTAACAACTATTTTTTATATATATATATATATATATATATATATATATATATATATATATATATATATATATATGACGTTAAAGTTAGGCGGTATTTAAACTAACCCCTGTAGAGGGCGCACAGGAATGAATGACTGTCTCTGAAGAAAGTAAACTCTATCTGTAGCTTCCCTTTTTTTTATCGTTAATTTTGGGAAGTCCTTGTATTAGTTAAACGGGCTCTTTCAAGTTGTTTTTAAGGTAGAAGTTGGGAGATTCCTGAATCTCAGAATTTTCCCCGTGGTCATTTTGCTAGTTTTATTGATTGCTGGGAAGGGGGAGTGTGTGTTAAGTGTATGTTATCTTTTAGTTCTTTGGGAGTGTGCATGATGTGTGTATGTGTATGCATTAGTATGAGCGCGTATTTAAGTATGAGACCTCAACACTTCTGCATGTTTGTCATGTGTGGGCAAGAAATGTGGGTAGGGCTTGATTTATGGGGTTATATATAAATTCTATCTATGTTGTTAAATCTATCGTTAAGCCCGTCTGGACGAAGTGTTTTGAGGCGCAAAATCCATTTGTCTTCATGTTCCTTTAGTATTTTTCTAAGGTTATCTTTTCTATCTATTTCTATTTTTTCAATTACAGTGAATTTTGCATGGCTTTTAAATCATATTTTTCTAGGCGGAAATATATATATATATATATTATAGGATATTACACCCAAACATGTAAAATTAAAGCTACATAAATGCACTCATGTTTCGATGTGCATTAACACATCTCATCAGGCGTTATTAAATGGGAGGTTAGAACAATTTATTAGGATTCATACCACATACAATCTCTTTCCCCGCGAGAAAATGAGAAAGAAAAGATAAAGAGAAAGAAAGGCATAAGATACAATCTCTTTTTCCAGAGAAAAGGAAGAATAAGAAAAAAGTAGAAAAGCAAAGGGATTGGATAGTAGCAAAATATGTTGATAATCAGCTCAACCAATCAAAATGGCCAACTCTAAGTTAGAGGTCATGAAACACAGATTTAAATTTGAAGATAACTTTAGCGTTATATCTGAAACAATATATATATATATATATATATATATATATATGTTTGTGTGTGTGCGTGTGTATACATATGTATATGATGGATAAAAGTATAAAGCATATCACCAGAAAATACAAGAATAAACAAGGAAATTCGTTCCATAACGCAAAAAGGCTATATAACATGATATGCAAAAAAAAGGACTACAAATACTAGAAACATTAAGCATAATAGGCAAACAACAGCATAAATAAAATGTTTTAAGATTTATAAAGAAACATCCTAAATATATTTCATGAAGGAATAAAACCTGTAAGATACGCAAAGACACAAAGCTTCTATAATTGAAAATGATGACACAAACCGAAAAAAAACAAAAAAACTCTTTCATAATTGCTTCTGAAAGCTTTTGGAAGTACTCACATTAAATATATACCGGAAAACCATAAAATGGTTCAGAAATATAGAAATAAATATATACATAAAAAAAATACTTAAAAATTTTCTTGGTTTTAAGCAAAAATATATATATATATATATATATATATATATATATATATATATATATATATATATATATATATTGTTATGGTCCGGTTCCTTGTACCACGGTGATAGTCCAATGGTAGAACCAATAAAGAAGAACGCGAACACAGGTATGGAATAACACAGATATATTAAAAACAGGAATATATACAGAGAAGTAGAATTGTTAGTATGAACAATCAGGTTTTAGAGAGAACAATGTAGTCTCGACCAGTATCACTATTCCAATGTCTTGCAGTAATTGTCTGAACGCGACTCTGTTTCGGACTGCCTCTGACTCGACTTGAACGACTAACTTCCTGACTCGACTTCTTGCCTTCTCCTGAGGCGCAGTATTTATTAAGTATGGAATAGTCCATTATTATTATTATGGGTAAGATCCCCTAGCACACACACACACACACACACACACACACACACACATATATACATATATATATATATATATATATATATATATATATTGTTAAAGAAAAAATATTCGCAACTTCAACTAAACCTCTCCTGCATCTTTATAGATTTCAAGAAAGCATTTGGAGAGAGAAATAGAATAGGGAGAGAGGAGGACGATGCCAATGCTTGGATGTGACCAAGTATTGACAATATAAAAATACGAGAAAACATCCTCCAAATTTAGAGGTTAAAACTAATGGCGAACAAGGAAAAAAGACCTGAAGCAAGATCAATGTCGATGGCCAGGAAGTCTTGAGCCAATTTAAATATCCTAGCTCGATTGAAAGCAAGGAGGGATTTTGGGCTCAAGATTTTTGACAAAGTCTAAAGTTATTTTAATGTTATTGGTCTTGACCTGGCATCTCGACTTCAGTCATTTTCCAACCGCCATGTTGTGAGTTCCCTATGTCATTTTAATAATTATTTTTTTAGTAGTTGTTCTAATTATCTTTTCTTCTAGGCACTTCGATCGTATAATTTTAAGCGAACTACTAGATTGGCAATTAGGTCTCACCGTTTTAATGCTTAAAAAGCTAGATGAAACCGCACGTTCTAGTCTAACAATTTCTGTCTTCGCACTTCTCGCATGTGGAACACTCTTCTTGTTTCTTGCTTCCTGGACATCTACGATCTTTAAAAAATGAAACGCAACGTCAATAACCATCTTTGTCTTCCTGAAACATGTTATTTTATTTTTCTTATCTCCTCACTAAAGTTTTCTCATTTTCTTTCACTCCCAGTAACCCCTTGCATCTTAGTGGCATTATCGCCATCTTCTGTCTTCTTGAAGTCTGTTCTTTTATTGTCCTTTCTCCTCACTAAAGTCTTCTTATTCTCTTTCACTCCCAGTAACCCCTTGTATCTTAGTGGCATTTATCGCCATCTTCTGTCTTCCTGAAACCTGTTCTTTTATTGTCCTTTCTCCTCACTAAAATCTTCTCAATCTCTTTCACTCCCAGTAGCCCCTTGCGTCTTAGATGACAGGATTATTAAAACCAGTCAGAATACTGAAAATATTGGTTGAATGGTTGGCTTATTTAATACCGAATTGTAAGGGGGCATACAGTGGGGATCATACTCACTACGCAGTAATAATGGTCAAACGGACTAGACTTGTTATTCATTACCCAACACCGAAGAGCAAATACTGAAAGTAGCACTGAAATATTGATTAAGGTTTGCTGTCACTTGACCTTCATTGAAAGTCGTTACTGGTGTGAACACTCAACAGGAGTACATAATAATAATAATAATAATAATAATAATAAGCAGAAGAAGAACAACAACAACAGTAATAACAACAAAACGATCATGTAACCAGCCATGTCACAAATAGTGTCCACTCAGACCGGACACGAATGTCTGTCTCTATGTCATTATTATCCAAATTACAAAAGTGACTACCGACCCGTCCTTCAATCGAGTCGTCCACACCCTTTTCGCAATCCAGAAAACCTGGGGAGCAAAAGAGAACTGAACAACGATAGCCAGCGTGACGTCATTGCTGGACAGTCATGACTCAAGCAACTTCGTGGTCTGTTTACCAATGACACACAAAAAATGTTTTCCGGTTTTGTAGAGATTTTATTCTTGCTGATAGTGGCCCTTAATACCCTAGCCTTCCAAATTATAAACTGGTCATAAGACCCCGACTGCTTGGGTCGTGGGGATGCTTTTGGTCACGCTAAGTTAAGGATAATCATTGGCGATGTACTAAAAGAAAAGGTTAAGTATATTCCGATATGAATTGGGGGAAATATTAATTATATAAAGGTTAAAAAAAGAGGAAAAAGCGGAATAAATTAAATAAGTAGAGAAAAGAGAAATGAAATAAGAAAAGAAAAGAGAAATGAAATAGAAAAGAAGAGAGAAATGAAATAAGAAAAGGAAAGAGAAATGAAATAAAAACAGAAAAGAGAAATGAAATAAGATAAGAAAAGAGAAATGAAATAAGAAAAGAAAAGAGAAATGAAAAAGAAAGAAAGAAAAGAAAAAGAATGAAAATAAGAAAAGAAAAAGAAGAAAAGAAATAGAAAAGAAAAGAGAAAGAAATAAGTAAAGGAAAGAGAAATGAAATAAGAAAAGAAAAAGAAATGAAAAGAAATAATAAAAAGAAAAAGAGAAATGAAATAAGAAAAGAAAAGAGAAATGAAATAAGTAAAGGAAAAGAGAAATGAAATAAGAAGAAAAAGAAAAAAAGAGAAATGAAAAAAAAGAAATAAGAAAAGAAAAGAGAAATGAAAAAGAAAAAAAAGAAAATGAAATAAGAAAAGAAAAGAGAAATGAAAAAAGAAATGAAAAAAAAAAAAGAGAAATGAAATAAGAAAAGAAAAAGAAATGAAAAGAAATAAGAAAAAGAAGAGAAATGAAATAAGAAAAGAAAAGAGAAATGAAAAGAAATAAGAAAAGAAAAGAGAAAAAAGAAAAAGAGAAATGAAATAAGAAAAAAAGAAAATGAAATAAAAAAAGAAAAAGAAATGAAAAGAAATAAGAAAAGAAAAAAAAGAAAAGAAATGAAAAGAAAAAGAGAAATGAAATAAGAAAAGAAAAGAAAAGAAATAAGAAAAGAAAAGAGAAATGAAAAGAAATAAGAAAATGAAATAGAAATGAAATAAGAAAGAAAAGAAAGAAGAAATGAAAAAGAAAAAGAAATGAAAAGAAAGAGTAAAAGAAAAGAGAAAGAAAAGAAATAAGAAAAGAAAAAGAAATGAAATAAGAAAAGAAAAAGCTCAATTTGAAAAAAGAAAAAAGAGAAATGAAATAAGTAAAGGAAAGAAAATGAAATAAGAAAAGAAAAGAGAAATGAAAGAAATAAGAAAAGAAAGACAAAAATGAAATAAGAAAAAAAAAATGAAAGAGAAAAAAAAGAAATGAAATAAGAAAAGAAAAGAGAAATGCTTTTAAAAGAAAAGAGAATGAAAAGAAAAGAAAGAAATGAAAGAAAATAAAAAAAGAAAAGAGAAATGAAGAAAGAAAAAAAAAAGAAAAAAGAAATAAGAAAAGAAGGAGAAATGAAAAGAAAAAGAAAATAAAAAAGAAAATGAAATAAGAAAAGGAAAAGAAAAATGAAATTAAGAAAAGAAAAGAGAAATGAAAAGAAATAAGAAAGAAAAGAGAAATGAAATAAGAAAAGAAAAGATGAAATGAAAAGAAAAGAAAAGAGAAAGAAAAAAGAAATAAGAAAAAGAAAAGAGAAATGAAAAAGAAAAGAAAAGAAAATGAAATAAGAAAAGAAAAGAGAAATGAAAAGAAAAAGAAAAGAAAAGAGAAATGAAAAGAAATAAGAAAAAAAAGAAATGAAATAAGAAAAGAAAAGAAACAAAAAAGAAAAGAGAAAGAAAAAAAGAAAAAGAAAAAAAAGAAAAAGAAAAGAGAAAGAAATAAGCAAAAAAGAGAAAAAAAAAGAAAGAAAATAGAAATGAATGAAATAAGAAAAGAAAAGAGAAATGAAAAGAAATAAGAAAAGAAAAAAGAAAGAAATAAGAAAAGAAAAGAAATGAAATAAGAAAAGAAAAGAGAAATGAAAGAAAAGAAAAGAGAAAAAAATAAGAAAAGAAAAGAGAAATGAAAAAGAAAAGAAAAGAGAAATGAAATAAGAAAAGAAAAAAGAATGAAAAGAAAAAGAAAAGAAAAGAGAAATGAAAGAAAGAAAAGAAAAGAGAAATGAAATAAGCAAAGAAAAGAAAAAAGAAAGAAAAGAAAAGAGAAAAAAAAGAAATAAGAAAAGAAAAGAGAAAAATAAGAAAAGAAAGAGAAATGAAATAAGAAAAGAAAAGAGAAATGAAATAAAAAGGAAAGAGAAATGAAATAAAAAAGAAAAGAAAAATGAAAAGAAATAAGAAAAGAAAAGAGAAATGAAATAAGAAAAGAAAAGAAAGAAATGAAAGAAAAGAAAAGGAAAGAGAAATGAAATAAGAAAGAAAAAAGAAATGAAATAAGAAAAGAAAAGAGAAATGAAATAAGAAAGAAAAGAAAAAGAAATGAAATAAGAAAAGAAAAAGAAAGAAAAAGAAAGAAAAGAGAAATGAAAAGAAATAAGAAAAGAAAAGAGAAATGAAAAGAAATAAGAAAAGAAAAAAAGAAAAAAGAAAAGAAAAAAAGAGAAATGAAATAAGAAAAGAAAAAGAAATGAAAAGAAATAAGAAAAGAAAGAGAAAGAAATAAGAAAAGAAAAAGAAATGAAAAGAAAAAGAAAAGAAAAGAGAAATGAAAAGAAATAAGAAAAGAAAAGAGAAATGAAATAAGAAAAGAAAAGAGAAATGAAATAAGAAAAGAAAAGAGAAATGAAAAGAAATAAGAAAAGAAAAGAGAAATGAAAAGAAATAAGAAAAGAAAAGAGAAATGAAATAAGAAAAGGAAAGAGAAATGAAATAAGAAAAGAAAAGAGAAATGAAAAGAAATAAGAAAAGAAAAGAGAAATGAAATAAGAAAAAAAAGAAAATGAAATAAAGAAAAGGAAAGAGAAATAAGAAAGAAAAAATAGAAATGAAAAGAAATAAGAAAAGAAAAGAGAAATGAAAAGAAATAAGAAAAGAAAAGAGAAAATGAAAGAAAGAAAAGAAAAGAGAAATGAAATAAGAAAAAAGAAAAAGAAAAAAAGAAATAAGAAAAGAAAAGAGAAAAGAAAAAGAAAAGAAAAGAGAAATGAAAAAGAAAAGAAAAGAGAAATGAAAAAGAAAGAAAAGAAAAGAGAAAAGAAATAAGAAAAGAAAAGAGAAATGAAATAAGAAAAAAAAGAAAAAAGAAAAAAGAAAGGAAAGAGAAAAGAAAGAAAGAAAAGAAAAAAGAAAGAAAAAAAATAAGAAAAGAAAAGAGAAATGAAAAAAAAGAAAAAAGAAATGAAAAAAAAAAAGAAAAGAAAAAGAGAAATGAAATAAGAAAAGAAAAGAGAAATGAAATAAGAAAAAAGAAAAGAGAAATGAAATAAGAAAAGAAAAGAGAAATGAAATAAGATAAGAAAAGAGAAATGAAAAGAAAAAAGAAAAGAGAAATGAAATAAGAAAAGAAAAGAGAAATGAAATAAGAAAAGAAAAGAGAAATGAAATAAGATAAGAAAAGAGAAATGAAAAGAAATAAGAAAAGAAAAGAGAAAAGAAATAAGAAAAGAAAAGAGAAATGAAATAAGAAAAGAAAAGAGAAATGAAATAAGTAAAGGAAAGAGAAATGAAATAAGAAAAGAAAAGAGAAATGAAAAGAAATAAGAAAAGAAAAGAGAAATGAAATAAGAAAAGAAAAGAGAAATGAAATAAGAAAAGGAAAGAGAAATGAAATAAGAAAAGAAAAGAGAAATGAAAAGAAATAAGAAAAGAAAAGAGAAATGAAATAAGAAAAGAAAAGAGAAATGAAATAAGAAAAGAAAAAGAAAGAAAAGAAAATAAGAAAAGAAAAGAGAAATGAAATAAGAAAAGAAAAGAGAAATGAAATAAGTAAAGGAAAGAGAAATGAAATAAGAAAAGAAAAGAGAAATGAAATAAGAAAAGAAAAGAGAAATGAAATAAGAAAAGAAAAGAGAAATGATATAAAGGGAAAATATGGAAAGAGAATGATTAAAAAAAATGAAAGACGCCATTTTATATTCGGCAAGAAAGAAAGGATTAAGAATGAGAAAACAGTGAGAAAAGAATGAAAAAGGGAATGCAAGAAAAGAAGAAAGAATAGCTTGAAAGAAAATAGCAATAAGAATGAAATAAAGAATGAAATATACTTAAAATTTTCGAAAACAAAAGAAAAAAGTTCATGGCAAAACTGAATGAGATCGACTGTACTGCCTGATAAAAATCTAAATCTCAAAAATTGAAAAATAAAAATAATAAAACTCAAAAAATCTAAATTTAGCGTCTCCACATCTTGGGCGTTCCCTTCGGTACAAAATTATGACCGGCAGTCGTGAAAATATATACCTTCCCCATTCCATAATTTTTATTGTCCCAAGTGCTTTTGACCACTTCTATAGGCATTTTCAAATTTTTCCTTTTTTTTTTGTCTCTGGAGTTGTTACCTTTTCCTCATGTTTTGTCTGTTATATTGTAATTTGTTTTTGTGTTATTTTGAATAGTAGCGTTCACTCCAAGCCTTCATGTGTTGCGCGCGGCTGGAAATCATACGGAGATCATTATATTATAGAAAATATTTGTTTTCCCTTACTTTTACAAAACGGAAAAACATAAGGATGCTGGAAAAACTTAAAAGAATAATCAAATCTTCCTTGTCGGCCGTATTTGATAATATATATGTGTGTGTGTGTGTGTGTGTGTGTGTGTGTGTGTGTGTGCGTTTGTGTATATTACCAGTTTGTGACTGGAAGGGATATTTCCGAGGAGGATATAAATCCAGGGAGAGCTCAATGTAGACTACAGAGCATTGTAAGGACAATAAGGGAGACTTTTGTGGAGGAGATTTCGTTCTGGTGAGTTGAACAGCTCGGTGTTCCCGAAATAAAAATTATAAACGAAATGGTTAATTAAAGTTAAATCTTTCTCACACACACACACACACACATATATATATATATATAAAATAAAAAGAAAGAACAGTAAGATATATAATAAAGACAATATACTTATATATAAAGTCAATGTACTAATATGTAAATGAGTCAAGACTTATTTCAATATCACTAAAAATATATATATATATATATATATATATATATATATATATATATATATTGAAAATAATAATTTAATACAAAGTTAATAAAGTTCAACCAACAACATATGTTTCTATTGTATGTTTACAGTTTTTTTATTAAATGATGTGATGATGGTATAATGGATACTAGATCAGAAATCTGAGTTCCGAGTTCGAACTCCGTTCAGCTTTATTACATTAACTCGCGCACCAATAACTCTGGGAAATGAAAAATCTTACAATACAAAATATGTTTTGGTTTTACATAACTCAAAACGGGTTGATGAGCCGTAAAAAAAAAAATCATCATGTGACATATCCCGATCGAAACTAGAAATAAACTGTTCAACGTTCATGTCTTCCTTGGATTTATTCTCTGGAACAAAATAGTATCTTTAATAACAATATTAAAAAGAAACAACCTGAAATTCTTACATTCGTCACAAAATTACCACACTATCCCGTAGTTTAATTTGTCACTTATCGAGATTGAGTGCAATTCAAAAATGTTTAAGAAACGCGGATATAAAAAAACAACCACTCCGTGAAAGTTAATCAATAAACATTGGTAAACTATATTTAAACAGTTACATATAAAAAGTTTCAATTAATAATAAGGGATTAAAATATTAATTCTAGACACCAGCGACTTTTCATATAATCAGAGAAATCGTAATAAAATTAAACGAAGTTTATGATAAAAAACTACAATATTAAAATGCATAAAACTGGTCATGAGACAAATTTAGAGGTTTGTGATGAAAAGGCAACAATTATAAGATGGTGCAAAACTGATAATATAGTAATTATATAGTGTTGAGATAAAAAGAAACAATAGTAAGATGGAATAAAACTAGTAATAAAATAATAATAGAGGGTTAGCTGAAAATGATGCAGTTATAGCGTGGAGTCAAAATCTTGAAAAAATAATAACAGAGGTTTGTGATAAAAGCATCAGATGCATATTACTGTAATCTAAAGACTAGTTTTAGATCATTTTGAAAGATGTAAGCGTAGTATTTTAAGTGTGATGCATAGAGCAGCTGTATATATATCTATGAATTTTAGTTTTGAACGAGCGCTAAACTAATTATAGATCTCATGTTCTAGAATTAGATCACTATATATATATATATATATATATATATATATATATATATATATATATATATATATATATATATATATATACCAATGTAATATATCGCCACTGTAAAAATTGTAGACCAATGTAATATACCAAGCCACTGTAAAATCAGCAGATAACGATAAAATATACATAGGAGTAACTGAAGGATGCTGGCAACAAAGAAAATGCGCACACAAAACATCCTTTACAAATAGTAAATACGCAAACAGCACAATCCTTTTTTAACATATATGGGAAATTAAAAACATAAACCAAATCACACCAAAAATATCATGGAAAATAAGAAAAAAACAGCAGCCTACAACAATCAATCCTAAAGCTGTAAACTCTGCTTGGAGGAAAAATAGCCATAATTACCTTCCCAGACCAAATAAACTACTGAATAACCGATCAGAACTCAGTTTAAATTCAGATACGAAAACAAAACGCTACTTAAAAATAGAAAACGGAAAACGAACAAGAATAAATGAAAATACATGAATAAAATAAAATAGATAAACAAAAACTAGTAAAATAAATTAAACCAACCAAATAAATAGTAAATAAACTAAGTAAATACTAAACAAATTAACAAACTACGTCCACCAAAATAACCGTTAGAATAATACAATTGACTAGCCAGAATGCAATACACTATCCACAGTGCAACACTAGCCTGTATATATATATATATATATAAAAAGTCAATCAAAAACACAATGCACATCGTCTGGCGATTGCGTTTAGCAGGAAACAGACTGTCGCCTCTGGGTGTGGATTTCAATGTCCTTATATATATATTTCGTTTATTGATTGAAGCAGACGACGCCATGTGGATCCTTATTCTCTTTAAAATTAGTAATGGCTGTATTGTAGTAAAATAATTTAAATATCGATCAGATCGGTCGGCTTTGTCAGTCAGTTCTTCTGCACAATTACATGGCTGACCAAACAATATCTAACTTATAGAGGAGGCCATCTTAATATGTCCAGGTGACCGCATGAACTAGAAACTGTAATGGCGGCCGAGAATTTAGCGAGGAATATAAATGATCGATTCTGCTCCATTTCACAAATATAAGGGGTTATAAACGAATGTCCAAATCGATAGGAGAGGAAAGCGAAACTATTTTTTTGAGATCGACAAAAGATGGAAATATTACAAAACAAAGGGATTCTATTTATTGTTCCAGTCAATCAAAGCAAATAAGCTCTATTAATGTTTGCGAAAAGTATCACCCTGATATTTTTTAGATAGGTATACTGATAAAAAGGTTGATGCTGTTATCTACCTCACACCCTTCCACAAATCCTATCTATCGATCTCAGTGTGTTCTTATCTATCTATCTATCTATCTTCTAGCATTGCCTATTCATCCAAATCTATTCACACATACAGAGACGCACATGCCCACACAATCACAAGAACACACACACACACACACACACACACATAAATGCATATCTATCTAGGCACATTCAGCATATTCATACCACTCCCCAAAACAAGACCTTGATATGTCTGTCTATCTATCTATCTAATCGTCTTGCGTTGTCTATTCACACACACACACACACACACATATATATATATGCATAGCTATCTGTCTTTCTCATTGTGTTCTTATGTAGGCATGTTCATATATCTCTTAGCATATTCATACCATTCCCCAAAACAGGATCTTCATATATCTCTTTATATAAGCTCCTTCATATCTATCTTTGTGTGTTCCTATCTGTCTTCTAGCGTCGTCTTTCATCCATCTAAATCTATTCACACATACACAAACACACACGCGCTCGCACCATATATATATATATATATATATATATATATATATATATATATATATATATATGTGTGTGTGTGTGTGTGTGGCTATTTAGGCAGAAATTCTTCTTTCATGTACATTTCATTGAAAACGACAGACAAAATGCTTATATTAAGTTTTTATTCAAATTCTCATGCGATCTAATCATTTTTTCTCTTCGGATGATCAATTATATAAAATCTGTCCGAATGTTCTTTTTATCCGAGCGTTTTCGGCTATACATTTAGCCATTTTCAAGGATTGAATATTTTAACTATTAAAATAAGAAAAGCTATGTTTTATAAAATGTTTTAATTTTTCAAAACACAGTCAAGATATTTTGTCCATGTTCAAAGTTAATATTAAGTGTTGATTTGTTTGTTTTTATTAATAAGGTTTCCATTATTTTTATCCTTTTTTGCATGTAGATGATGCTATTATATTAGTGTTGTCAACAAGTATGTTACGAATAGTGTCCGGTAGGTCTCCATGAATATTTAAATGAAATCTAATTGAGCTATATATGTGTATATATATAATTGAGCTATATATATATATATATATATATATATATGTGTGTGTGAGCGCCTGTGTGTGTATGTGTGAATAGATTTAGTTGGATGAAAGAAGACAGATAGGAACACACAAAGATAGATATGAAGGAGCTTATATAAAGAGATATATGAAGATCCTGTTTTGGGGAATGGTATGAATATGCTAAGAGATATATGAACATACCGAGATAGATAGATAGATAGATAGATAGATAGATAGATAGATAGACTATCTCAGCCTGTCTATCTATCTATCTATCTATCTATCTATCTGTCTATCTCAGTCTGTCTGTCTATCTATTTTCTAGTTTTGTTTCATCCAGCCGTCTAAATCTATTCACACATACGCAAACACACACAAAGACACGGACGGGCTCGCACACCCACACGAACACACACAAATAAATGCATCTCTATCTATCTATATTTATTTAGATGACTCCTTATTTTTCATTGAATCATATTTTTCTGACTTTTTCTCATTTTTATGTAGGTGATACTCCCGACGATTTCGACGTCTAACATTTCAGTTGAAGACCTGAACCCTAACCCACACGTATGATTTCATTATAGTGCCGAAGTCTTGTTTAGAATCTGCTACTATTTTCGAAAGGAGTGATAACAGAGAAATGGTACACAGTGTGCCATGCAGTCACCAAAGAACATTACTAAGGTTTGAATGAGTTTTACTTCTTGACTTGCATGTTTCAGATGGAGTCTGGTAGGTTTCTCTCTGTGTTTAAATGAGTTCCAATGGAGCTGTGGTTGGATAGGTGTAATGTAAGTCGTTTGGATAAGCATGTAGTAGTGTGACCAATGTAATTTTATGAGTTTTGGTTTGATCAGGAACACAGTTCTTTAAGAAGCATTTGAACGCGTAAATAATATTGTAGTTTTAATTTTGGAGTTGTGATGTTATTTTTTATGATAAGGTTAGCTATTTTTAATTTTTTGTGTTTAATTTTCCACATAAAACGTACAAGACTCCATCCGAAACATACTAGTAGAAAATACAATCATAATAACCACATCTGCATGTGAAAAAAAGATTAAAAATAATGAAAAACCTAACAAAAAAGCTAAACATTTAATAACATTAATTATGAATACGGCCACAATGTACTGACCGTGTTTGGAAAATAAAACACACCTATAACTCAAAATATATACATAACACAATCCATACATTATGCTAAAAGTAAAATCATCCTTGATAATGGCTAAAAGTATAACCGAAAGCACTTGGAGATGCATGTTTTGAACAGATTTTACACAACTTTGTGTACAAAAAAGAAAACACTTGTATAAATACAAGAAGAATTAAATAAAAAGCTTAATCTCAGTACCTTGTCTCTTTAACGAAACATGAACAAAAGAGGGTTGCTGCCTAAAGGCTATATATATATATATATATATATATATATATATATATATATATATATATATATATAGCCTTGGATGGCAACTGGTCTAGAGGAAGGACAACTCTGAATTCAAAACCTGCGGAGGGTCGTTTGGGGACCTTGTAGGCACCTCGATGCACCAGGTCTCTGTATTCATCCTTCAAAAAGTGTGGATGGTCCTGCACGAAGCCTTCACCACTATAATCAAATCTCATGCCGGTGTCGGACTGTCGGTTTCCTGAAACTGATCTGCTTGACCCTCATACGTCGAATCTCGACGGTAGAGTCGATTATATATATATATATCTCACACAATATGAAATGGACAAAGTCCGACAATTATTTTAAGACATTTTTATGTTTAAACATTCTTTTTATATACAAATATTTATAAATGTTTGTTTATAATAAATAGTATAAAACAACATTTACTGGCCAGAAAATTTTCTCTGAAAATTTTCGGACATTCAGGCCGGTAAATGTTGTTTAATACTGTTTATTATAAACAGAGCATTTACTTAAATATTTGTATCTATAAAAATGTCTTAAAATAATATATATATATATATATATATATATATATATATATATATATATATATTTCTCTCACGAACCTCGTTTTTTCTTCATTCAGTCTCATTCATTCTTTCTTTAATTTCCATTGCTTTCTTTCAGTTTTTCCTTTCTATCTTTCTTTTATATCTTTTTCATTCTTTCTTTCTTTCTTTCATATTTCTTTCTTCCTTTTATATCCATTTTTGGTTCTTTCTTTCTTTCTTTCTTTCTTTCTTTCTTTCTTTCTTTCTTTCTTCCAAAGTTCTTTTCTTTTTCTTTTTTATTCTCATTATTTTATTTTTTCTGAAGGCGAAAAACACAAACAAGAAAATGAATGAAGTCGAGCGAATTATTTTTCATTCATTTCAAATTAACTCAGGTGGATTTGATATGTAACCGAGCGAAGAAACTATTTTTTTTTTGCCTCCTTTCATAAGTTTTCCCTTCATTTAAATTTTTGTCTTCGTTTTCACTTCGTTAGCGATTTTTTATTTATTTATTTATTTTTAATTTTCTTTATTTTTCATAATTTTCATTTTTCCAGAATTCTCATTTTCAAAATTTATTTTTTTTGTTCCAAGTCAGACATAAAATTTTAGCTTATTCCTTAGCGATGGTTTTACATAAGATTTGTGAAAAGAATTAGCCATTTTTCAAATAAAATTAAAACGAGAAGAAAAATAAAAAGCAAGATATTACTATTAATAATAATAAAGTTACTACCACCACAACTACTACTACTAATAATAATAATAATTTGGCTGTGAAGCATGTACGAGATATACTCCTATGAAACTGTGTGTTATTATGCGTATATTATGTATTGTATATTTTACCCTAGTATATCTTTTAAGGGGTGCTCCTCTCTCACACAATAATAATAATAATAATAATAATAATAATAAATGACAAAGAAATTGACAAGCCCAAGCAATGCACCAGGCTCCTCACTGACGTTATCTGGATGTACAACTATTGTAGCAGTTATCATTTGGGACGTTAAAGTCTACACAGCCGAACATCATCGAGAAAATAGGAATGGAACTTTGTATTCCATCGATTAAGATATCTGCGTTGTTTGTGTCTGCAAATATTCTGCGAAATGGATTATCTATCTGATATCGTTCGACTTGACAGTGGGCGGTGGGGGTGGTCGCCCGTAATGCAAGATCTCCGGTTGAAAACGAAAAACAACGAGGAAGAAGATAATATCAATGATAGTAGCGAGAATTCTAAGACTTCTTGAGTAATTCTAAGACTTCTTCAATGTAAGCTACCGCATATTACTGGCAGAAGTACATGCAACGTTGGAATAATAATAATAAGAAGAATTATTATTAGTTTAAAATAACACAGATTTAACACAGAGGTAGGTGTTTATTTAAAGTGTTGGCAGCTTGACTGACAACCGGAAGATTATCAATTCTTTTTCTACAGGGGACATATCTGTAAAATTTACTTGAGGAATATAACGTGAGCGCCGTTTTTATGCAATTTTTAACTACTCAGTTATGTTAAAAAATTAGGAAAATATTCTCCGTAATCTAATGTTTTATTAAATTTTAGGTATTTTGGCTTTAAATTTACTGTAGCTATCACTCTATACCAAAAATACTGATGGCTGCCGTTGATAGACCGCTGTGGAGAAGATTCAGTATAGCTTCTGCATTCGGACCCCCCCCCACACACACACATCTACGATTACAAAAGTCAAGGAGTTGATGATGTTGATGATGATGATAATGAATTCTTACTCTTATTTTTTGATAATGTTGTGTATGGATGTTCATATTTACAAAAATCGGTACGTTTATACACAAATAATAATAATAATAATAATAATAATAATAATAATAATAATGATAATAATACTTAGAGATGAGCGCGATTTAAGAAAAGGAAAATGAAAGACACAGTGCTTGACAATGTTCAAAAATATTTCGTGAATATGTCTGTTTTCTTCAAGTTATTGTATAACAATTGGATATAAGTATAAAATACAAAAAAATTGTATAAAAAAAATGATAAGTCTTTGTACAAACGTCACTTGTCTTAAGAAAAAAAACGGTTGTACTGGTAATCAACGCGTCAAAACGATTGACATGCAATTGAATCGTACGTAATATGATGGTGATCGTGCTCATCTTGGAATTTTATTTTAGTTGATTAATTACTAAGAGCAATTGATAAACAGTTTAGTATAAATTCTATAGAACTGTCCTATTGCTCTGTTTATTCCCCCTGGGGCAGGAAGATAGTAGTTTTCATACGTAACTATCCTCATGCGTTTTAAGAGTCTCAGACGATAGACATAGTGTTGAAATATTGTTGAACATTGTCAAACACTGTGTCTTTTTTTTTCTTTTCTTAAATCGAGCAATTCTCTAAGTGTTTGAAAAATATTGGAAAAGTTACGACAATCATTTAGTTTAATAATAATAATAATGATGATAAATTGTTCACACCGTACGAAGGACTTTATCTATGTAAAATGTGTGTGTGTGTTTGTTATTTTTTAATTTGTCAGCAGAAAATGCCATGATGCCAGTTCTAAGCTTAGGTCTCTGGGCGGGACTTGGAAAGAAATGTGTACACACCAGAAATCAAAGGAAATAAAATAATAATAATAGTTGTATTGGTTCTAACACGGCGTCTTGGCCTTAGTCATTTTCCGAAGGCCGTAAAGTTACTTTCCTGAGCCTATTCTATAAATACCTCCATGGTAATTGTTCGGATGAGTTCTTTGCTTTGGTTGTTTTATTCTCCTCCTACCACAGAAAATGAAATATGGGGACTAGTTAGGACTTTCATAGAGACAATGAGTTATTATGGTGGATGTAGTAAGAATGGTAAGAATGTGTTGTTTTGGTGTTAGGAATATTGTGGTATGTCTGGGTCAGTGATTGTGGCTACCTAAGTTTAAATTGAAAGCAAAAAGAAGGCCATCCTTATCCCATTCCCATTTTTGGCCATTTTTATATATATATTTTGTATATATATATATATATATATAAATATAGAGATATATATATATATATATATATATATATATATATATATATATACGGCTCTCCCGTCGAATTCGACATATGAGGGTGAAGCAGATCAGTCCCCAGGAAAACGACAGCCTGACAACAGCACATGAGATTTGATTATAGTGGTGAAGGTTTCGTGCAGGACCAGCCACACTTTTTGAATGGCCGAATACAGAGACCTGGTGCAATAAGTGTCACAAGGGCCCACCATGGAAGTATTTATAGAAAAGGCACAGGAAAGCAACTTTACGGCCTTAGGAAAATGGCTAATGCCGAGACGCTGCGTTAGAACCAATACAACTATTATTATTATTATTATTATTATTTTCTTTGATTTCTGGTGTGTACACATTTCTTTCCGAGTCCCGCCTAGAGACCTAAGTTTAGAACTGGCATCATAGTATTTTCCATTGACAAGATTTGATTATAGTGGTGAAGGTTTCGTGCAGGACCATCCACACTTTTTGAAGGGCCGAATACAGAGTCCTGGTGCAGTAAGCGCTACAAGGTCCCCAGGTTTTGAATTCAGAGTTGTCCTTCTCCTAGACCAGTTGCCATCCAAGGCTATAGAACCCAGTCTGTCCTGCTATTTACCCGTGGAAGAAGAGGATTCACACCTTTCCCAAGGGTATTAGCACGTATGTGAATGTAATGTATTCGACTGGAATTCGAACTCTCCGATTTCTCAATCCAAGCCGCTATTCATTTCTATACCGTGCCTCCCATATATATACATATATATATATATATATATATATATATATATATATATATATATATATATATATATTATATATTGCTCTATGTTTTGGTACGTCGACATTAAGCGCATTACTAGATTAGAGACAATGTTCCATTGCTTTCAAGTTCAATTAGCAAGGTGTAATCGTGAGTTCTATGCTAACAGTTTGTTTTCTTGCTTATGGAACTCCCTAACAGCTCTTTGCTTTCCAGACAGTAACGAATAGAAGCGTAATCAGGAAGACAGTAGATAATGATTGACTTTGAATTTATATATTTTTTACAGTAAGGTTCACCCTGTACAAAGTAGAGGCTTACGATAAGCGGTGGTTTATATGGATAAGAGAGAAATATAAATGTTAACCCTAAACTTGAACAGGTTAAGTGCTCGGGTAAACATCTTCTAGGAAGTCTGTTCCCCAGCGCAGGAACAAGCTGTCTGAGTGTAACTTCTCGCCAATGGGATACGAAGGGAATGTGGGTGGTTTGCTACTATATAAGTGGCAGGGAGAGTCCTAGCCGTAAAGGTCAACCCTGGTGCAACCAGAAGATGCAGTTCGTCCGAGCACTTTCCATGGTAGTAACGGTAGAGCAGGGAGAGGCTTGCCACATCCCGCCTGTGAGAGAGAGAGATTGGAAGGTGGGATATAATGCTTGTCCAACAAGTACTCTGAGACGCTTTTGAACTTGAAAGTGAGGACTGGGCAGCTTCTGCCGAAATATGACAGTAGTACTCCATTTTCGGCCTGATGTGACCCTTATAAAGGTAGAGGATAGCATGAGGAGTCAGGTACCTATTGGATTGATATAGCGAGCCCATCATTTTACCTGCATCTTTAACGATTGATCGTATATAGGAATTCCACTTGGGGTCGGGTGTTAGTTTGAGGCTCAATATACTCTCAAAGTACGGTGTCTCTTTGTGGGGGACATCCGTTTATCGTGACTGGCGGTAGTGGAATGTAACCAGGCAGTTTTCCCCACTGAGAAGTTAGTATTATTGTATATATATAATAACGTTTGAAGTATTGAAAATGCTGGAAAATGCTCGATATCAGACATTGAGCTTATGTAAGTATAAATATAAAAGTGGACACTGAGGTCAATACCAAGCGGTGACAGTCTGTTTCATACTTGAACGCAATCTTCAGGCGCCATGTGTGTTGTGTTTTGGCTTGAATATATATACCGGACAATTGTGCATTATTGGTAGTAAGGTATTTCTATCATACTAACTGGGATTGTGTAGTCGGTAACAATGTTTCAAATTATTCTAGAGTCTATTGAGTAGGAATAAGTGTGTATAAATATACATATATATATATATAAACAGCTAAAAAGTTGCAAATTAAAAAATAATAATGTTTTTTATGAAAGTATTTATTTATATTTTATATATATATATATATATATATATATATATATATATATGTAGTTTTGATATTTCAGATCGACCTCGGTCTTTCTTCAGAAATAACTCATTATGCTATATATATATATATATATATAATCTGCGCCAAGAAAAGAAAGTTGATATGGTATGGGTGCATTATACGAGCCAATAGTCTTTCCTTTGCCATTCTACAAAGTTTCACTTTAGACAAAGGAAGAAGAAGAGAGAGACTGAAAAAAAAAAGGCTGACAACTTCAGTGAGTGGACAGGAAGGTCATTCATGGAGACTCACACATTGACACACAAACAGGATATATCAAGGGAAGTTTTCAAGAGGACAGTTACGAAGCCACTCTACCCTTACATGGTACAGATGATGAAGACTATGATGGTGACACCGTCGACGATCATGAGTATCATGATGATGAAGATGATGATGAATTGTTTTGTTTATTTCAAACGAGATAATTCGCTCAAATTAGCAAGCCCTTCAGAGTTAATTTTCGAAAATAGATGAAGAACAAAAGAAATAGAGAAGGAACGCAAAGAAATAAAGAAAAACAAAAGATGACAATAAAAAGAAAAAAAAAAGAATGACAAAGAAAAAGAATTTCGAAACAAAAAACAAGCAAAAAAAAAAGGATAAAGATGGGATAGAAGAAAAATAGCGAAGATAGACAATTGAATGAAAAGATAAAGAAAAGTGCAAGGGAAGGAAAAACAAGGAAAAATCAAAACCAGTAAGGAAGAAAAATAAACGATCGAATAGAGGAAAGAGAAGAAAAGATGAATAATGAAGAAAGAGGAAGAAAGAATGAAATAACAATGGAAAAAAAATAAATCAAGAAAAAAGAACGAGAAAAATCGGAAAAAGATAATGAAAGGAAAAAGAAGAAATGAAAGAAAAAAAGAACGATAAAGTCCGGAAAGGGAATGAAAAAAAATAAATAACAGCAAAAAAATGATGAATAAGAGAGAAAAAGAGAATAATAGAACAAAGGAAAGCATGAATGAAAAAAAAAAAAAGAAAACGAAATTTAAAAATTAAACGGATGAGGAAGAAAAAGAAGAGAGAGAAAAGAGTGGACGAATAAACGAAACAGGCGATATAGAATGAAAAACCAAAAAAAGAAAAAAAGTTAAAAGGAAAAAAAGAAAGAGAAAAAGGAAGATAAATAATAATAAATCTTCTGATATTTAAAAAAAAAAGCAACAGAAAGACAGAAAGTAACATAAGAATGAGGTAAAAAGAAAAAGAGAAAATAAGGAATGAAAAGGGACATGGAAGAAAAAAATGACACTGATGGTTATACAAGAAAAACAGAGTAAGACAGAAGAAAGATAAATAAAAACAAAGGGAATAAAATAAATTTGGAAAGAATGAAAATGAAAGAAAAGAAACAAGAAAGAGAGAAAAAAGGTATGTGATTGTGGAAGAGAGAAAAAAAAAAACCACGAAATATTGAAGGAAAGAGGGAAGGAAGGACAAACATTGAGAAAGAAAGAAAACGAGATAATTAAAGATCAGTGGAAAGAGGGAAGAAAAAATAATTGAGGGAAACAGTGAATGAGATTGAAAAAACATAGATGAAAAAAATATAGTGGAAAAAGAATGAGGAAGACAGACGAATAAATATTCACTCATTTATCCGAAAACGTATTCATGGGTAAAATGACTTTATTTTAAAAATAGAAAAAGAAAAAAAAATGAGTTTAAAAATCTTTGACTAAATTTACGACTGATACTCTCACAAAAAATATATTTGATAAAAGAATAAAATAGTAAAAAAAAGAGTAATTTCTTTTTGAAAGAGCAGTTTGATTATATAAATTTAAATGTCATGGCATTTTTCCCGATTTGTTCATTATAATAGAAGAAGAAGAATGTGAAGAAGAAGGAGAAGAAGAAGAAGGAGAAGAATAAGAAGAAGGTGAAGAAGAAGAAGAAGAAGAAGAAGGTGAAGAAGAAGAAGGAGAAGAATAAGAAGAAGGTGAAGAAGAAGAAGGAGAAGAAGAAGAAGGAAAAGGAGGAACATTTTACGAAAGAGAATGAGCGAGTGGAGGGGAAGAAGAGATAATATGAATAATGCGACGAATAAGAAAATTAGAAAATAAGAAGGCAGAAAGAAAAAGACGAAGAAAAAGAAGAAATTACTGAGAATAAATTAAATAGGTGTAAACGAAATCAGATAGAAAAAAGATTAAGAAGGAGAAAAGAAGATGGTGAAGACGAACAAATTAAAGAGAGATAAACAAAATCAGAAAGACAAAAGAGAGAAAGAAAAAGAAGTGAATAAACTAACAAGAGATAAAAAAAGTATCCGAGAAGAAAAAGAAGGAGAAGAAAAAGAAGGAGGAGGAGGAGGAAGAAGAAGAGGAGGCGGAAAAGAAAAGCCAGAACATTTTACGAAAGAGATGGCGCATGTAAAGGGGAAGAAGAAATAACATAAGCGAAGAACAATGCGAAGAATAAGAAAATGAATATGCATGAAGAAGAAGAAGAAAAAGAAGAAGAAGAAAAAGAAAAAAAAAAGGAAAAACAGAAGGATACAAATTCAAAAGAAGAAATATGTTCCAAAATGGAAAAAAGAAAAAAAAAATCCTTATCCACGAAGAAAAATATTTCTGCGTTAAATTAAAATTTGAACAGCATCTTTTTTAAACTTCAAATCAAAAAAGCCTTTGTTAAATATCGCTAAGAATCTTATAATGTGTATTTCCATCTGTAAAATGGAAATATTCGCGAAAATGATGGCTTGAATAAAATATGACGGCAATAATCTCTCTGTATCTTTATATCTTCGTTCAAATGTCTCAATCCATTTGATCATTTAAATGTTGGCCCTCCTCCCTCCGTAGCTAAGGCGACCTTCTTTCTTTTACTACTTTGGTCTAATATTTATTTCCCTTTCCTAGGTCTGCTCTTAACGCAGTGTGATCCACATATCTTATATTGCTAAGATTATGTCCGCTAGTAATCAGCCACGAGCTAAAAACTAATGCAACCCTTCGTTGCCATTTTTGAGTTTGCATATATTTACGACGTCCCACTCGATTGACAACTGTGACCGAGTATAAGAGCCAGGAGCACTTTCGGTATGTGCTATACTGCAATCTATCTATCACAATATATTCATTATCTATTTCAGATAGATAATGAATATACTTAGATAGATAGATAGATAGATAGATAGACAGTGAATATACTGAGATAGATAAATAGATAGATACATAATGAATATACTGAGATAGATAGATAGATAGATACATAATGAATATACTGAGATAGATAGATAGATAGATAGATACATAATGAATATACTGAGATAGATACATAGATAGATACATAATGAATATACTGAGATAGATACATAGATAGATACATAATGAATATACTGAGATAGATAGATAGATAGATACATAATGAATATACTGAGATAGATACATAGATAGATACATAATGAATATACTGAGATAGATACATAGATAATGAATATACTGAGATAGATAGTGAATGTACTTAGATAGATACATAATGAATATACTGAGATAGATAGATAGATAGATAGTGAATATAGATAGTGAATATACTGAGATAGATAGATAGATAGATAGATAGATAGATAGATAGATAGTAATTATGCTGAGATAGATAGTGAATATACTGAGATAGTGAATATACTGAGATAGATGGATAATAAATATACTGAGATAGATAGATAATAAATATACTGAGATAGATAGATAATAAATATACTGAGATAGATAGATAATAAATATACTGAGGTAGATACATAGATAATGCATAAATATACTGAGGTAGATAATGAATATACTGAAACAGATAAATAGTATATTCACTATCTATTTCAGTATATTCATTATCTATTTCAGTATATTCACTATCTATTTCAGTATATTCATTATCTATTTCAGTATATTCACTATCTATTTCAGTATATTCACTATCTATTTCAGTATATTCATTATCTATTTTCACTCGATGCAGGCTATTTTAGCCCCTTTTATTCCTCGATGTAGTTTAACATACATACATGCACACAGACACACATATATATGGAGAAAGTATATGTAAAATGTTTACACGAAATATTCACCGGGCTTGAGAAATTGAACGTTTTATCCTGTCACTTTCATCATACGTGTTCGAATAAGTTTAAACAGATTACGTCAGTACAAGGGTACATCATTGAGGGATCTGTTTTTACGACTTACCAACCCTTTATAGGCTATTTAAAGCCAGAAAATATTTTTTTAGATTGTAAGAATTATTTTCGGAGAAAAATCTTACAAATTAACCCATAGCTGGGAGGAGAAGAGATGGATTAATACCTTTTCCAAGGCTATTTGAGCCAAAGCGAATATAACGAACCCGACTGGAATTGGAACTCTGCTCTCAGATTTCTCACTATGAGTCGTTATCTATTACACCAATCGCACATCCAACCTTACAGCACCTGGTTATTCCTAAGCAGTCACCCATCAAGCGTCAACCTGTCAATCGTTATAAGATTTTATTGGTAAAAACCAGCCTCCGAAAAAAATAGTTCAAACAAATGTTTGAAGTAACAATAAATTATATAAGCACACAACAAAGACAGACGATACGAGCCGAGTTTCAAAAACATACTAACATTTTATTGTTAACACGCAAAAATAAATTTACACAAAAATTAAGTGCTTTGTGTGCCAAATGATGTCCAACATCATGTATGTAAATTATCAGTGAAAATAAAATCTGACTTTTTTATAATAAAATATATAATGTTACATAAGAAAGGTCCCCCAGAAAAGAAAACTCGATAAAAATGAAGAAAAAGAGAAACATTTTTCTGAATAGTTTTCGAAGAAATAACTTGGTACAGTTTTCGAAGCAGATAGATATAGGAGTGACATTTGACGTTGCTTTCTCGTCTGTTGGTTGTCAAATTTCTTCTGCGTTCTTCTGGACTGGGGCAACATAGATTCCTGCAACGGCTGTTCTTTGACTTCGAAAATCAAATCCAGTACCCCACCCTTTAAAAAAACCTACAGGTACACTCCAAATACGTTGCTGGAAATTTGGTCGGAAACCTTTTATTGGTTTTGGATGAAAAAAAAAAAAAAAAAAAAAAAAAAAAAAAAAACGCAGCTGAATTACCTCTAATGAAAATGAACCAAAAATAATTTCGAAATTTAAAAATTAAGCAAGAGCCCATCGCAGCGTTTGCTTTCTCTCTGAAAGTATGATGCACACTCAAGAAGCTTACCTTCCTTATACCGAAGATATTCTAAGAGTTCAGCTAATTATTACTATTATTATTATTATGATGTTTTGTATTTTCTTTGTGTAGTACGACTTTTGTCCCTAAGGTTTCAATCATTACCATTCTTATTATTAGTGAGTTAGAGAGGAGGACTTCAACAAAGAGACACTCTAATACAAACATACGATTCCTCATATACCAATCATGACAGTTTAACAAAGGTACACAGGGCACATGCATCACAGCGAAATGTGTACGATATGGCGAGAGGATTTGAGGATGGTGTCCAGTTATAAATGGCCTCGGTTTGGGTAACCTAGTCCACTCAGACACTCACAGACTGGAAATTTTCCAAAGTATCTAGCTGTCGCTCCCAGGTCGCCTTGGTTACCTCACCCTTCCAACTTTCCGAACCGGCAAGCAAGTCTTTGTTATTGAACTTATCTTAATTCACTAAGACAAAGCATTGCATTGTTGATTAACAAAGCATGTTAACAACTTGAATCAGTTAAATTCAGAAACTATGAGAGCCATTCCTGGTGTAGCGTCAGGAGATCATTATTATTATTATCATTATTATTATTATTATTATTATTGTTTTTATTTTCTTTGATTTCTGGCGTTTACACATTTCTTTCCGGGTCCCGCTCAGAGACCTAAGGTTAGAAATGGCATCATGACACTTTCCACTGACAAAAAAAAAAAAAAAAATTACATAGATACAGCCCTTCGTAAAGTGTGGGTTGTACTTGTCGGAACAATTTTTTGTATCTCCTTAAGGCATAGACTTCCAGGAATCCCTTCAATTAGTCTACTGCAATCTTTTCCAACCAGTCCTAGGGCTCCAACTACAACAGGGATTGTTGATGTCCCATATGCCACATTTTCGAGATTTCTATTTCAAGGTCCTTGTATTTTGACAGCTTTTTGAGCGAAAATTTAATAATATATCTTTTAGCGGCTAGTAGGTTGAGAGATTATTATTATTATTATTATTATTATTATTATTATACTATGACTAATTTTAATTTTACTTTTAAAGAAATACATTCTTCTTCTTCAACATTATCCATTATAATTCGTTATAAATCGCCTTTTTTGATGTCTGAATTTCTGGGATTTACCATTATTTATATTATTTACATTCAGACTAATGTTCTAATCTTTGTTATTATAAAACGTTTTGGTCGTTATGCTCTCCGGCCTTCTTCAGGTATCCAGGTAACTTTCAGGGAATTTCGAACTGAAACCTTTATTTCACCAACTTGAATTGTACGCCATACTTGTATTCTTCTTCTTGTTCTTGTTCTTTTCTTCTTGTACTTCTTCTTCCTCTCCTCCACCTATTCTACTTTTCTTTTCTTTTTCTTCCTCCTCC